AGCAGAGATGAGGAGCTTTGACAACACGTGCCCTCGCAGGGCAGCAGCCACGCAGAGGAGGGCCTAGGAGAAAGGGCCATCCTGATGAAAGAACTGTGCTCCGAGCCCTTCCTGATCCTCACTTGTAGCCTGGTGTCCCTAGTGGGCCCCATAACCAGTAGGTCAGGGGTCCCACGTGGTCACTGTACCAGGGAAGCAGCAAGGGTCGTGGGTTTGAATGGTGGGAAGAGCGGGGAGAGAGAGGACGTGGCTGCCCCCCCCCTCCCAGGACCAGATGCCAATGTCATTCTCGCTGCCCATCCCGAGCTGGTGAGGAGGGGTGTCCCTGCCACCACAGACCCTTAGTGCCTGATGCTCCCTATGTGTCAGCTGAAATTGTCCTGGGTGGCCCCCCATGAACCCACCGCCACTGAGTCGGTGCCAACTCACAGGACAGAGGACAGCTCCCTGGGGCCCGAGACTAAATCGGGTGAGGAACATATACACACACAACAAACGCACGGCCATCGAGTCCGTTCTGACTCACAGGGACCCTACAGGGCAGGGAAGAACTGCCCCGTGGGGCAGTGTCATGGGAGTCGGGAACTTCGTCTTTCTCCCGAGGAGCAGCTGCTGGTGTTGAACTGCTGTCTCTGAGGTTAGCAGCCCAGCATGTAACCACGACGCCACCAGGGCTCCTTCTTCAGGTCGTGTCAGGGCCTCGAAATCATCCATACAAGCCGACACCCCACACGTCCCCAGAGAGAAACGGCTCCCATCACGTTAGGGGTGAGCTAGTTAATGTGTGACCACACACAGCGGGCCAATGGTTCAGCTGGGAAGTCCGTGTGGCTGGTGAATGATGCTACAAATATCCAAGTGGCCCTTGGCAGAGAAAAGGTCCCCATCTCTGCCATCCACCTTGACGGGAAGGAGACAGCCTCACCTTTCCCTGCCAGACACCTGGAGAGCGCGGTGGAAAAGCCTGGGGAAATGTTTCAGATTATACCTGTCTCCTTAAACAGCATTCCCCACCTGGGCTTGGAGATGGGGCCTTTGGCTTACAAGGGTCAAAAAGACAAATGGAAGGAGGACTCCAGGAAGTTCAGGTTCACCTCCCTACTTGGCCTGAGGAAACACAGGTGCGGCTCCAGGTTGGGGTCCAGGGCGCCCTCCTTGGCAGACACAGAGCAGCGAGCTCGTCCAGGGGAACCACACGGATCCGTCAAGCTCCCTGTCCAGGCAAGAGCCCGGCGGGGAGGGTAGCCAGTGTCCCAGGTGTCGGGTGGCATTTTTCAACAGCAGCAGCTCTGTCCCTGAGGCAGACTGGTTACACATCGCAGATGACTCTTCACTCACAAAAATGATCGCACGATGTCAGTCTATTTCTCTTTCTGACCCTCTCCAGGGCGGACGGCTCTTGACGGAATTGTCTCAACAGATTGTGCGAGACCCGAGGAGGGATCGCAAGGCAACCCCTGACTCGACCTTTCCTTTGTCGCTCTCTGTGCGGGGCGCTGTCACCTTCGCCGACCGGCAGGGAGCCGTGGCGGGGGCCGGCTGTCAAGCCCCCCGTCCAGAGAGCTGTCATTGTAAGGTGTCCAATTCTTAGCCCGTGATTAAAAAATGAATATTTCAGATCGGTGGGTGACAATCCCATTAGAGTGATCGCCCGTGATATCAATGACTCCTTCAGTTTCAATTTGGCCGGCCGGCTGTGGCGTGCCATTCCTCGGCTCAGCTAGTGATGGCCGGCTCTCTGGAGTGTGACCCTGGAAATTGCTGCCCATTATCCAAGCGTTGAGGCTTGTACTGCCTCCGAAGGCTCCGGGGTACCAGCCAGCGCCCGGGGTCAAGCTTGGCAACCTGAGCAATTGGACAAGGGAGCAAATTCTTGATATAAAGGAAATGTTATTTATCTGGCATCCGACTCGGAAAATCTAAAGTTCCCATTATCCTGACAGTCTGTCAGTCAGGCGTCGGGATATTGATTTTATAACGTCAGAGGTCCGATCGCAGTGCAGGCTTAAACGCGTCCTGTGTCTGCATTCTCCGGAATGTAGCTGTGGCGTGCTGTGGGTTTCGTTTTCAGCCGCCTTCCCACTGGTAATGGATTTGGCTGAACTCCTCTCTCAGCACTCAGATGTGGCTATCAAGTTCATCCTATCAACCATCAAAGACAAGGGCTACTAGGGAGCCTGACTTGGGGTCTGGCAAATAAAGCTATAAGACAACCCCCCCTCTCACAGGCAAGGAGCAATGCAATTACATAATCGGATGCAAATGTGCCCATCATTAACTGTCAGAATATGACTTTTAATGGCTACCCCCATATACAGCTAACTAGAAGAGTCATGGTTTCCAAAAACAGTTCTTAATTCTTTGATTCCTAAGACTATTAATAAATTTGGACTTAAAAACCTAAAAAGGAATCGCTTTCCTGACTGGTGTAGTGGTGACGTGGTGAGCTGCTAACTACTAGGTCAGCAGTTCGAAACCAGCAGCCACAGCTCAGGAGGAAGACGGGGCTTTCTGCTCCCTAAGAGTGACAGGCCTGCAAACCCACAGGGCAGCTCCACCCTGTCGGCTAGGGTTGCCGTGTGTCAGAACGATGGCAGGGAGGGACGTTGGGGTTGGCTAGGTTAGCCCTGGGGGAGGAGCCCTAGTGGTGCAGTGGGTTAAGTGGGACCGTCAGAAACCACCAGCTACTGGGAGAACGGTGAGGCTGTCCGCTTCCAAGGTGCAGCTTTGGAACCCCCTGGGGCAATTCATTCCACCCTGTCCAGCAGGGATGCTGAGTTGGGCCCCTTGATCTCTGTGGGCTTATCCCTGAGGAACTTGAAGGGTTCGTGATGGGGGCTTATTTGGAAAACCCGATTATCTTCCAGAGAATCATTTCTTTCAAGACATGGAAGAAGGGGTCACAGAAAGCCCACTTCAGAGAAAGTGTGGTAGTTACATAATCTGTTGTCAACTTGAGACTATTAAGAGTGAAGGGGTGGAGTTTAGCCTGTCAATCAGGTTGCAGATTGGTGACCTCATTTGGAGGCACTAAGGAGATAAACAGCTCGCTGGAGATGGGACACACACTCCCTTCCAGACAAACTCCCTGTGAGACATTCCTGTTGACAAGCCACATAGAGCTTGCAAATGGCAGCCAGAGCTCTGGAGCTGGAGGAGCCCATGTGGAGACCCACACCAGCACTGAGATGCTTCCACCACCAATGGATCCACAAGACTTTCCACCCACTGGCCTGTGATCTTCCTGCACTTGGCATCATTGCGTCTGAAGAGGAACTTACAGACTGGTACTGGACAGATGGGCTAATACTGGGCTTATGGACTTGGTCTGGATTGGGCTGGGATGTGTTCTTACTGTACAATTGCTCTTTACATAAAGCACTTTCCTATGCACACGAGTGCCTCTGGATTTGTTTCTCTAGTCCACCCAGACTCACACATAAAGTAAGTTCAACGTTCAATTTATTGTGGGATAGGCTGCAAAACTGACTAGATTTTTTTTAAGTATTAAATTTAAATTTCTAAGAAATCATTCCTCTAGGCCCTCCCTACTCCTGGGTCCAGGCAGGGGCAGGAGCGGGTATCTCATCTGCTTCCGGCCTCAGTGGCCTTTACCTTGGGAAGTGGAGATGACACAGATCCTTTCAGATTTCATGAGCTCTGAAACCCTCACCCGGCACCTCTGACAAAGCGAGCCCATGGTAAGTGCATCGGGGGGACTGGTGGTCACAGGGGCATTTCCCGCAAAAATATATTCCCACACAGACAAACCGTTCACCCAAAACGCAAGCCGCCTCTGCCCCCTCACTCTCCCAGGTGAATCTCAACTTCTTCCAAGCCCAGTGGTAGTTTTTTAAAACCCCATTGCACCTGGGGATGGTTGAACAAGGAACACCCACCCCCCTGTGCTTTTTCAGGCTTAAGGGTCTGTCAGGCAGGAGAACTTCTCTGGGGTGGGCTTGCTCACAAACACCCCAACTGGACCCTGACACCCCCCCCCCACCTCAATGCTTGTCACAGAATAGTATCATATTCCAAACCGCACGTCTTCATCAAGCCCGAGCTACAGAGCGATATCCATTAAGAAACCACACCGAGGGGGCGTTTAAAACACCCATCACTGTCATCAACTGTGCAGGGCACATTTTGAGAAATGCCTTTTGTGGAGGACAATCCCACGCAGCCAAGAGACCAACCCCATCGGCCCATTGCAGCAGGGCCCGCCGTTCAGTCAGCCGGCCACTTACCTTTAAGCCGTACTTCGAATCCACCACACTCACGATTCCTACAAAGGAATACACACTGAATCACTTTTCTGGGAAGGTGGCGCTGGAACGAGCACTCGCCCCGGTGATAAGCGGGACTTGTAATTCTTTGGTTTCTCTCTGGCTGGCCCACACCATGGTTTGACTCGATTGCACTAACACGTCAGTGTCTTTCAAAGGTCTGTGAGCTGCCCAGTTGGGGGGATTTAAAATAAGCAAGGACGCTCACTGCTAAGGAGCTGATTCTGACTTGTCAGATCCTCCAGGGCAGAACAGTCCCTGTGGGTTTCCCAGACTGTAACTCTTTATGGGAGTAGAGCCTCGTCTTTCTCCCAAGAAGCAGGTGGTGGTTTTGAACTGCTGACCTTGAACAGTGATGACGTAGCAACGAAAATAATTTTTTGGTTGGGGGTCACCACCACGAGGAACTGTATGAAAGGGTCGCAGCATTGGGAAAGTTGAGAACCACTGCCTTAGAAAGTAAACTTCAGACGTACAGACAGACCGACCAGGCAGCGAGACCGCCGTGCTGCGCAGAGCGACCCTGACTGCACGTCGGACCCAGGACCTCACACAGTGTACAAGGCTAAGTATTACAAATGTCATATAAATACGTAGTAGCGCAGTTTCACCTATAGTGAGGTTTTTATATAAAAGAAGTTGTTTTTAGAGAGTGTGGTTTCATTCACGTGCCAATGTGGCACATGTCTGTAGAAATCAGTGTGTAAGAAATGTCCGTGAACTGCGTGTTAATGAACACAGGAATGGGAGCCTCCTCATCTCTGGCCACAGCCTTATGCTGCTTGTGCGCACATCTCAGCACGGGCTCCTGGGGTCAGAGGTGCAGGTGTGCTAACTTGCTCAGCCTGGGCCTGAGTGTGCCGGGGAGGCCTACACAAAACCACCTCACAGAGCACAAGGCCCAGAGCCGACATGACAGTGTGCCAGTCAGCAAGCAGGGGCTTGACCTGAAAAACAGAAGGTTCGTTCTCCATAACTTACCATCGAGATAAATATCGCTGCCCAACTCAGCGTCCACCCAGAACATGGAGGCCACGGCCCCTGCGAAGACAGGACATGCTCCTTCAGTAAGACTGTGCCCAGGGAAAACACAGACACGTACACATTCCAGATGGCTTTCCATCTCGGGGGACTTCGGCGAGAGCATCCGCCGCGGTTCCCCTGCCCGTCTTCCTCGTCCTGTTTCCTGCCAGGCCACCCCTTTCCCCCTGCCCCC